TCGAGGTCGACAGCAAGGCCGAGGGCCTGAGGGGAACCGATTGGGAGGACATACTCGTTCTCCAGGCCATGGGAGGGAAGGGAAACGGAGGAGGAGGTGGTGGAAGAAAAGGAAGAAGAAGACGAAGAAGGAGAAGAAGAAGAAGAAGCAGAAGAGTGAGGAGAGGCAGCGAAGGAGAACGAGGGAAAAGGGAAAACGGGATAGACGGATGGAGGGTGGAGGAAACGGAGGACGTGGAGGTAAACACCCCGCTCGGGCAAACATTGTGTGATCAGCCCGTCGTTTCTCACGTTGTGTAGAGTCAGTATCTCTTCGGCTGTCCTTCCCTCTTTCTCTCTTTCTCTCTTCCTCTCTCCCTTGTCCTTCTCCGTAACCGTGATGGCTCTTGCCAGCTCTTCTCACGTTTCATATTGAACGGAGCCGCAGCTGCAGCAGACGTTATTTAAATCGGACGAGCTCCAGGCGTACGTGAGAAGTGGTCAAAGAAATATTCACCGTCAGGCGCTTTATCAGTCGCATTTCGAATGCTGACGTTGCTGGGTGAGCAGGGGGACAGCAGTGAGGTGAGCTTGTGTAGCGAGGTGAGCTTGTATGTTTACACTCAGGTTTTGACCGAGTACTAAGTGTATTGCATGGGGCCACTCCGGCATTGCAACGGGGCACCACGACCTATCAATTCCATATTTTGCATCGCGCCAATATATTCATGCACATACAGTTTCGCAAAACATGGCGAGGAACAGCGACATTCGCGACATCCTGATCCGTGCCGCCGCCAGCTTGAATATGGGTCCTGGTGACACCGACACACAGTGCTGGGCTCCTTCACAGCTCTCTTTCGCAGTTCATTGTTGGCGCAACGGATCTGTGAATGCATTTTCGTTGGCTTGTTCGGGGTGCTGGTTGGCACGACACCCCTTCAAGCCTGGAGGCAGAGTGTGATGCAAAGTCACGCCCTGTCACACCAGTGGCTTTTTCCGACGTCCTACCGTGAGCGCCGGTGGTCTTCGGATGTGCAGCTCGTGTGGGGAGCAGCTTTCATAGGTTGCGCGGTGACGTGGATGAAACAACATCGCACCTGCAAGCAATCTATCCGCATTGCAAAAATATTAAACGAGTCGTGCAGGGACTTGCTTCACCGACCAGGTTTGCTTGTCAAGCTCGGCGGGCAGGCTCTTCTGCAACTGTCAGCCGAGAGCTTCTTGTCGCTACCCTCGTCCGAGACGAGAGCAGCACTTGCGTATACGGATGGATTGGCCATGGGCTTGAGTACGTAGGGGTCGCGCAGCGGGCCCGTCGAGACCGCCATCAACATGGGGGTGTTCTTAATCGTTGGCTTGAACATGCGGTTCTGCGCGAACGACGTTCGCTTTCAGATGCCGACAGGAATACATATAGGATGGCTCGCCGGTTCCCGCCGCAGCAAGCGTGCCAAATGGTTTTCAGATTTGGCCCGGACGCCAGCATGCGAGCTGCTGAGACCGCGGTCATCCGAGCCTTGCGCCCAGGCGCCAATGGCAAGCCAGCCCATTCGAAGCCGCCGTCGCTTGTTCAGGCATGTCGCCGGAGGCCCCCCAGATCTTGCCGGACGGCTAGTAACGGTGGAGTTTTCGATAAGTTTGGGATTCCAGGAGCGCCGCCTCCGCCAGCAGCGCCGTCTACAGATTACCCACCTTCTCCTCGTGACGCTGGCGGTCTTCGAGGCGGATGGGTATGGTAATACTCTTTCTCTGACTTCTACCATGTTGTTCAGCGCACTTCTGCACAATTTGGGCCGCTGTCACTTTATTCGCCAGGTTTTTGGAGCTTGTTTGTGCTGTGGATGGGCACCAAAGCTAGCACGGTCGATTGGAAGTGAATCGAGAAGGCATGGCACGTAGATAGTGGACCCCTTGCCGCCATGGCCGCGCAGCACTTCCTCGTATTACTAGGGCCGTGCAGGCAGCGGATCGCATGGTACCGAGTGGACGCTGGGCTTCGAGTTCGAGGTCTTCCTACCACCCGTTCGCAGAGTGTTTCCATCAGCGCCCCAGCGTTACGACCAATGTTTGAGCGTGGCATTGAGGAGGTTCTTGCCGCCTCCCCCTGGACAGTTCAACAGAAAGTTTGGATTCGGCGTCAGACGAAAGTCGTCTTGGGGCACCAACGCACGTTCTTAGATTATGCAACGGCGTCGTCCTTTTTAAAATGCACTTCATTCGACTCGGTGTCGGATCTCCCATCATTCTTCTACGGTCCGCCGTTGCGGGTGCGGGGATGCACCTGGTGGACAGACGCTGGGATGTGCCACTCCGTCTTTCGCCAGAGGATTTGGCTGTGGAGGCCTGTGGTGTTGTCGCCAGTTGGACTCGCGCGGACACATGCAGAACCCTCTGTGCAGACCGACGCTGGCGCCCACAGTCAGCGCAGCACCATGCGCGCATCCATAGACAATGGGGGGCATGGGTGCCATCAATGCTCCACTATTTACTCTATACCATGCCTTTCGTCGTTCCGCCTGATTGCGTGTTAGTCCCAGACGACAAAAACAAGAAATTCTTCTGGATCGTGAACAAATCAACGTGCGAAGCTTTGTCATTGTACCACATACTGAACAGTACGACTTGGAAGCTCGTGGACATAACGCACTCTCAAGCAGATTTACGTTTGCAGCGTGCGATGCACGACGCGATCCCCGTTAGTATGCACCGGTTCCTCTCCATCAATCCGCAGACTAACCGGCTGCAGCACATGTATGCGACAAACAAGCGGAATTGTTTTTCGGCACCGCCTCCTGCATGCCGTAGTTGCCAGAAAGTTCATCACAGCTAAGTTCGGAAAATCGTCAGCCACAGCTCTTGGCCTGGTAAGCGCTCTTGGCAACTTGTCAGCCGCGCCCTGGAGGCGGCCACCAAACACCATGGAGGCGGCTTCGAGGCTAGGACGCTGAAGGCGGCGCCAACGTTACTCCGCGATCGCATGCGCGCGCTGGCATGCGGTGACTCGCACAGGCTGTCTTGCATCCGCTGCGGCCTGGACAGTGTTGGTGGCCGATGCTGGCCAGTCCTTCGAAGCCACGCCCCCCCTGCAAATTGGCGACGCTGCGAGCAAAATTTTGGACAGATGCGAGGCCGGTACAGGGGCGACTACGATAACAGTCTTCCGAAGCAAGCGCCGCAGATTGCACTTCGGCGGCGCGTTGGCCGCGCGAGTGTCGACCGCCAAGACTTTCTCCCACGTGGAGCTGTCCGGGGTCTTGTGGGCGGCATGCCGTGGCAGTCTGTGCCAGGTCGTCAGTCTCACATGCGAGATGGACGGGTTGCCAATTGGCGGTTATTGTAGCAAAATTAGTTGTTCCATGGTCTTGGCTCAAGCAGAATACGCAGACCACCTCGTTTCTCAAGGGTTTGTCCGGCGCTGGCAGTCTTGGAAGACTACTGTCGCATCGACAAGATATGTCGACGACGTAATCCACGTGAGCGGAGAGTTGTGCCGCGAGTGCGTGCTGCTCGCGAATACATCCATATACCTAATGCCATTCGACCCCCTCCCGATTGCAGAGCAGGCGGAATGGCTTGATCTAGTAATAGCGACACACGATCTTACGATTGACATGGCCCCCAAGCCGTTCAGCACAGTGTCGCCCTGGGCCTCCACGGAACGGCCTTTACGGGGATACATGTTGGGACGTGTTTCCAGGATGCGTGAGATCGGGCTGACAGTGCCGCAGCTGGCAGAGCATTGCACGCGTTTGTGCCATGACCTCCAGGGGGTTGGATGGGCCCAAGACAGTTTCAGACACGTTCTTTACTCCATCCAAGGGTTGCCAACGACCCCCCCCCCCACATAGCGGTGCTCAGGCTCGTGATCTGCGTTGCTGCACGGCTCAAGGGCGCCACCGATGCAGGGTAAGCGGCGGCGTTCTTGACACTGGTGCCAGCCCGCCACCCTGAGCTCCATGAAGCCATGGGCGTGCGCGCGCCCATGTGATTTCTATAGGGCGGGGTCTGTATACGCCTCCCGTTTTCACACCACCGCACGGGCACACATTGTGTGAACAGCCCGTCGTTTCTCACGCTGTGTAGAGTCAGTATCTCTTCGGCTGTCCTTCCCTCTTTCTCTCTTTCTCTTCTCGTCTCTCCCTCGTCCTCCTCCATAACCGTGATGGCTCTTGCCAGCTCTTCTCACGTTTTATGTTGAACGGAGCCGCAACTACAGCAGACGTCGTTTAAATCGCCAGCGCTTGTTGCTGCTCGTGGTGCCGCTGGAGGTGGCCCTGGAGGTGCTGGCAGTGGGCCGGCGATGCACTCTGCGCCAAGTCCCGGGTCTGGGACGCCGAGGGCGGAGGCCAAGCCCGCGAGCTCCTCGGCAAGACCAGGGTTGACCCCGGCTGGAGGCCCCGCGCCTGCGGCGGGCGGCGAGAGGACCGGCAACTCTGGGCGCCGCAGCGCCCCTGCCGGTCGGCGCAGCACTGCTGTGCGCCTCGGCGCCGCGGCTGCGGCGGGCCGACGCCGAGCCGTTGACGCAGCCATGGCGCGCGGCGTGCCGCAAGTGTTTCTCATGCCCTAAGCCTGAACACTGCGGATGCTCACGCTACACACTAAGCCTGAACACTCACTCGGTGACATGCACGCGGATTGATCGATCGATTGGCTCATGCGTGCAAGTGTGTTGAATTATCTACAGAGGGATTGCCATGCTTTCATGAATAAAGACATGTGTGAAAACATATGTCTGCATACATGTATGTCTAGACAGACGCTTGCATACATATATATGTGTTTAAACATGCATCTAGATAAATAACTACATGTAGAAACTTACATACACTTATAACACATGTATATATATATATATATATATATGTACATTTGTATATATATATATATATATATATATATATGTCTGCCTCCTGCCTCTCTGGTTCGTTTGCGTGCCGCCCCAGATCTCGAGGAGGTCCTTGACCATTCTTGGAGGCTCCTGGGGGCCTGAAAAGGGTACCCACCGGTCGTCGAAAACCTGTCTTGTTGGAACCCGAACGCCCAATCGAATTGTGAAGGCCTGACGGCCGGTGCTGCCGACCCTGGAAGATATCGACGACGACCAGGAGGGGGAGGAGGAGGAGGAGATAAGGAGGAGATAAGGAGGAGGAGGAGGAGGAGGAGAAGGAGGAGGATAAGGACCTCCTGGGATTGCGTACGATGGTGGTGGCTTGACCAGTGGCAGCGCCTACATAGCTCGACCTCTCACCTCACTGCGCGCTGCCCTTAAGGCGCACGCGTCTCTGGGGGCATCCCGGCTCATAGCGCGGGCGTTGTCCCCCAGGGGGTGGGCATACGCTGATAGACTCACTGGTACGACTATCCGTCTCTCAGGTTATCAGCCGCTTTTACTTTGCCCTTTGGGCAACGTGACCGTCACCGACAATCTCGGTAGGAAGCTAAATTGGCGAAGTTGCATACGTGGGCAGCTCCCCGTCTTGCGTCGGTGGACAAACCCACATAGGTCAATACGCCGCTATTCAACGTTTCCTGCGCGGAAGAAATGTTTCGATCGCCCCCCGATTGTCAAGGTTCTTTCCTTGTTCTCTACTCATCCCTTGTCCCTTTGTTTCCTCCATCCATCGAATGCTTCTCTGCTCCCCATCCATGTGACCATCCCTCATTTGCCTCTCTCTTCCATTCGCTTCTGTCTTGTGCGGCATGCCGCGTGTGCCGAACAGGCCATCGCTCGACGTCCTGGCGCATCTGAGCGCGCGCGCATTGCTTAAGGGAAGGATTTGCGATCGCGTGACGAAGCTCCAACACCCTGGCAGAGTTGCATGATGCGCGGGCCCAAATTGGCCAGCTGGCTGCCCGACTTCGGTTTACGATTTCGCCCTCGCAGGCGGCGGGCCCCACGCAGGACTCGCGCGTCACCTCTCCCAGGTTCGAAGCTATTCGAGAATCAGAGATGCCGAAAAGGCACGGGCCGCGGACTTCCTTGCCCGTTCGGACCGCGCGCGCGGTGCAAATCGCCCCAGGCAAGCAGGGGCCGACTTCTGCACGCGCGGACGATTCCACGGCTCAGAGCAGGTGCCTTGTCTGGGCGCTGCGGACTTACGACCTCGCATTCAGCCATCATCTACGCTCCTAATCGTCAACAGTAGCCCCTGAGCCGGCGGGGGCCATGAGCATCTTCACGACTTGATTGGCGGGTGTGGGTCGCGTCCGTCGCGAGCAGGTCATTATTCTCATTCCTCTTCTCACTGCAGGCGCATGGGTACGGATGTCTCCCATCGGGGGGGTCCTCCCTCCGTCCCCCTTTCATTTTCCCTCGCCCGGTCCCGCAGCTTCCGGGGGTCGTGGGGGCCCCCTCCCCCGCCCCCCACGGAGTCGGGTTTGGCCCTTCCTTCCGTTTTCTTCTTTTTCCCTTGTCAGGCAGGAAACCTCTAGGAGGGGGTCAGAGCCCTGCAGAAACCTCTAGTCGGGGGATCGCAGCCCTGCAGGAACCTGTCGCAGGGGGGTCACAGCCCTGAAAACTGGCATCTCTTGACGAGAGCACGAGCGCGGCGCGCCCGAGGTGGCCAGTGTCCGACGGGCGTGGCGGCTCTCATCCTTCGGGGCGCGTGCCTGTTGATCGCGAAGTCTACTCATCCTTCCTTTCTTTCTCTCTCTCTCTCTCTCTCTCTCTTTCTCTCTGTTTCTTTCGCTCTCTTCCTCCCCCATTATCCTTCCTTCGCGCGTCGTCTCGCGTCGGGGGGGCGGCGGCGTTTTCGGCGCCCCCGCCCCCGCTCAAGGCAGCTGGGCCGCTGGGCCCTGAGGGCCCCAGTTGTCAAGGTCGCTGCGTTTGCGCTGGCCCCGCTAATCGGCCCGCGTTTGTGGCATGTGTCACTATTATATTGGAGTGCGCCCCTCGGGTCGAACGCCGACCGATAGTTCCGCCCCCCCACATGTGCGCGTCGGCACGTTCCTTCCCTCATGCATTCTGACAGTCTTGCCATGCGTCTCGGTCGTTGTCACCAGGTGCACATCCTGTTCTTCCCCCACATAAGCTGGCGCCGGCAATCCTCCTTTTCACAGGCGTACGTCGTGGTATTTCTCCACGACCGCCGTTCTATGATTACTCTCTCTCTCTCTGTCTCTTTTTTTTTCTCTCTCTCTCTCTCTCTTTCTCTCTCTCTCTCTCTCTCTCTCTCTCTCTCTCTCTCTCTCTCTTCTCTTACTTTTTTGTTCCTTTCTCTCTTTCTCTCTCTTTTTTTTTTCTCTCTCTCTCTCTCTCTCTTTCTCTCTATCTCTTCTCTTACTTTTTTTTTATGTTTTTCTTTTTTCTCTCTCTCTCTCTCTCTCTCTCTTTCTGCGATGTTGTTTCTTCGTTTCGCCCCTGCCGGGCCCCGTCGGCGCCCCGCCTTTGGGCGCCCCTTGGGCAGTTGAGCCTTCGGGGCGCCTGTCGTCGAGCTCCCATATTCCGCCTACTTCCGCCGCGCGCATCCGCGCGTCGCAGAGGGGGGGCGCGCGCGACGGTGCAGGCCTGGCCGGTGGCAACGCCCGCGTAGCTCTACTTCGCACCTCGCTGCGCGCCGCCCCTGAGGCGCGCGCATCTCTGGGGGGCGCCCCGACGCGCGGCGCGGGCGCTGTCCCCCAGGGGGTGGGCATGTGCTGATCGGCCCATTGGCGCGATCGCCCCTTTCTCAGGGCGCCCCCCCTCCGGGGAGGAGGACCCGAGGAGGAGCGGCGCGGGAGCGGCGAAGGAGGGGGGAGGAGGACCCCCAGGGACGGGCGCGCATCGGACCCCCCTTCCAACCTGGGGAGGACGGTCCGAGGAGGACCGGCGCGACGGGGAAGGGGTGGCGCGGGAAAGGGGGACCCCAAGAGGCGATGCGAATCTGACCCCCCCCACCTCGCCCCGCCCCCCCCCCTGCCCCCGCCCCCCCCGGGACGCCCCCCCGCAAGGGAAAGGACAACGGGAAGGGGCTTTTCTTGGACGTGATTGCGACGTGGGTCGATTTCCCTCACCGGACTCCTTCCCCGACGACGGGAGGGCGCTCTCCTTTTCCCGACGGGGAAACATAAACAGGAGTGGCGCCCCGTCGACGGGGCCAGACAGACCCTTCACGCACGCCGACATGATCGGTGGATTTAGGCGTTTTTCTATTTCAAGCGTCGCACGGTTTTCCATTTTCCCTCTAGGCCATCGGGAACGCGGTCAACGTTGAACGCCTGCTTGTACAAACCTCTTCCGATCGATGGGCAAGCAAAACGTCAAATTGCGTTCCAGGAAGGCGCAGCCGCGCCCCTCCTCGACGCTCCTGGGTCGAGGGCAGAATGAGCAGCCCTGCCTCGTCTTTCCTCGTCTCCCTCCTCGTTCCGCCCCGTTCGTTTCCACGCCGGCGTTGCCGCCCCACCTTGGAGGAAGGGGCGAGGAAGGTCTTGCGATGGGGTTGTTTATCGACTCCCCAACGTCGCTGTCGACTCTGGCATCGTTCCTGCTGCGGCGGTCGAAAGCGCGGACATTGTGCGTAAGAACTGATACGGCCCTGACTCTCCCCTCCGGCGCCGCCCCCGCTTCGGAGCACGCGCGCGCGTGGCACCGCGCGCTGCCGCCGTTGGCTCTCCTCTGGCGGCCGCCCCTGCCTCGCGGCAGGGCCCGCCACGGCAGGAAAGGGACCTTTCAGAGGAGGAGGAGGTATCCATACCGCTGCTCGTCATGGCAAGTTCCCGTCACCACGGCTGGACATTCGGGTCGGAAGGCACCCTGGGAGAGGTCTGGGGAACACAGGCAACCCGCAGAATCAGGATGGGCAGCCTTCCCAAGGGTACCCTTGCATCCTTGCCCCCTCGGTCCATCCTTCGCCACGTTCGTTGGCCGCGCCCCGCTCGAAGAGCTTCGAATTGGGCGCCCAAGGCCCTTGCATCCTTATCGCGCATCCTTACTGCACGGGTTGACTGTAGCGGTATGGGTACATGTTTGGTACCGTTGTTCTTCATTGAGAGTTCCCGTCGCCACGGCCGAATTCTCTTCGAAATTTCTGGTCAGAAGGCGCTTTGTGAAAGGCCAGGGGAGCAGCGGTATCCGTACATGTCGGGCGGGATTATACCAAGGATATATCCGTTTTGTCGATTACAGAACGCTCTCAAAGAGTTCCAGAACGCTCTGAGAAGGCCCTCAGAGTTCCAGAACGCTCCGAGAAGGCTGGGGTTGCCCGAGACATCCTTCAGAGCCGCCGGATCTCAGCGGTTCTCGATTCATCCTCACCCGAATTTGTCCTCGTCGCCCCCCAGTCCCGAGACCGTCCCCGCGAAGAAGAAGAAGAAGAAACAAAAAACCAGGTCGAGTCGGCGGTTCGGCGGCGGGGCTCGGCCCCTGTGGGCGTCGACCCAGTGGCACGCGCGGCGGCCAGACCCCGCAGACCCCAGGAAAACAAAGGACTGCACAAACGTAGAGTTGCCGGAGCTCCGCGCGGAGTTATCGGATCTGCGCTGGACCTTCCCGGCGGCACGACGGCGCCTCCGGCGCCGCCCATGGCGCGCTCCGCGCGCCAGGGAGGGGAGCGCGCGCCAGGGAGAGGAACGCGCGCCAGGGAGGGGGTCATGCTTATGCAGGTCTTTGCTCCTCCATCTCTCCCAGAAGATCTTCTCGCTGCGAGCCGTCTTCGGGCAGTCCCGGGGCCCATGGAGGGCCTTGGGCGGCCAGGAGCTCGACTAGACGTAAGGGTGACACTTCGCCGGCGTGACCTTTGTTGCGGGCACACTGGGCACCCCCGATCGCCGAGTGCGGTGATAGAGCAGCTGCTGGCGGGCTTGGGCTTGGCCCTCCCGTGTCCATCCAGAGCCGCGTACCAAAGGGCACTCTTGCCTAGGGTTACTCTTGCGCATGGCCGAAGATCGCCCAAAACCCTCTGGACCCCCTTCTCCCAGGACCTGCCCCCTTCGTGCCCGAGAGCACGCTCGCCGGTCGGCAGGCGCTCAAGGGGTCCGTACGGGTGCGGTGGGACAGCGACGGCCGGGAGTGCGCGCTGCCGAAAGCGCACGTGCGCGCCAAGGCCCGCCCCCGCTGCGCCCTGCCGGCTGCCACCGAGCCCCGACGACGACCACCACCACCACCGCGACGGCGACGGCGACGGCGATGGCGACGGCGGCGGCGGCGGCCACGACGATGACGACGGTGCTGGCAGCCACGACGACGGCGACGACGACGACGACGACGACGACGACGGCGGCGGCGGCGGCGGCGGCGACGACGGCGACGACGACGACGACGACGACGACGACGGCGGCGGCGGCGGCGGCGACGACGACGACGACGACGACGGCGGCGGCGGCGGCGACGACGACGACGACGACGACGCCGACGCCGACGCCGCCGCCGCCGCCGCCACGGGACCCCCGCCCTTTGCACCACCATGATGGGGCTTGCAGGGCGGGCGCGCCCTCGATCAAGGGCCCCCGCACCGCAGCCCGTGGGCTGGAGCCACGCATCGGCTGCTCGTGAGAGCGGCCTCTCCGCCCCCTCTCTCTTCTCCCTCCCCCGAGAAAAGGCGCGTTTCAGGCGGGCCCTCCGCCTAGCAGTCCCTGCAGCGGGACTGCTTTCGTGTTGCCTGCCAGGCAGCCAGGACGGGCGGGGATTTGGGGGTCTCCCATCCAGCTCCTTCTTCTTGAGGCTATATTGCGCAGGCTGACTTTATGATGTTCCAACCTCCTTTAGCCTTGATCACCAGAAAGAATTCCGAGCCCCCTAAAAATGCAGGAACTTGAGGGTTTTCACGTGTCGGGCCCTGGGAGGCACTCGCCCGACTTTCGACACTCGTTTGACACTTTTCCGGGTGCTCGAAATTGTTCCTGGGATGTGGTCTTTAAGTAGGATGGGAACAACATCAGCGGTTGACCGTGAGCCCCCATCCCATCTGGTCCGATCTGCTCCCTCCGCCCACGCGCCCTCCACCACAGGAGGATGATGCTGTGACGGGTGCGACCTCCGAGCAGCCACCACCTGTGCCACCCTGGTCGGTACCGCTGCCATCCACGCCTACTGCGTCGGTGGCAACACCCGCATCTACAATGACACCCCCGCCACCCAACGTGGCGACACCGACGGATCGACCTACTCCGCCGCCTCTTCCGCTATCTACTCCGGCAACGGATGCACGTGCGCTGGAGGCGACCCCCGCAGATGCAACAACGCTTGCGGAGCCTGCGAAATTCAAGATCATGGGTGCACATGGTTGTTGCGCGCTATCGCAACACGAGACCGTGGATACGTTGGAGAATGAGAGCACATTCGGCTACACTCCCAGAGAGTGTGCAATTCGTGCTAAGATACCCGACCCATTCCTTTGGGTCCCTCCGCCCTTGCATGGACACGGTCAATACAAGGCGTGCGTGGATAGCGCGGAGTACGCAAAGAGTCTGTACTACGACGACTACGTCATCAAGCATGCTCCCGACCTCCACAACAGCGGTTGTTTCCCCGACTATGCTTCGATCGCTCTTGGCAATGTGACGACTAAACAGTTGGGACCACCTCTCCTCGCTGGCCCACGCGGCTCTGGCCACAACATGGGGACACCAAAGTACTTCAGTAAGGCTCTTTCCGCAGTTCTCCGCCACGACAACAGTAGTAGAAACGGTTTAAATCAATTTCTCGACCGCCGTGTCAAAATATGGCCACATGACGATACTGGCACTTGGGCTGTGACCAATTGTTCCCGAGCTTTCAGCAACATCGTATCGAAAGTGTTCACTCGCAACAACAATGGCCCCAATGCACCCGCGATCTACTCCCATGTGCTTCAGGCAAATCAGCATGGCCAACCATGGACGAGCGCACGCGACTATTACGTCATCACTGTTCTGCGCACCGTCCACCTGCACATTGACGATGAGAAGGCCCGCTTACAGGTGTTTGTCCGCCGTCCTGGCCCCGATGCGTCTGACTCAGACTTCGCGTGGGACCAGGTACTGGCCATTCGAGCCATTGGCGGGCACAGCGCTGTACACAGCATGAGCAGACCATGGAATATGGGATTGAAGCGCGTACCATGGACGGATGTGAAATACCTGCATCATGCCACTACACGTGAAGCATGGGAGAACATCCGCAAAATCGGTATTATTCCCGGATACGGAGCCGACCGTCAGACACGGAATGGAGCATTATTTAGCTCGTGCTCCTCTGTTCTTGGAAGCAGACGGAATCCTCACACCACGATCCCCAGATACAAGTTCGAGCATAAGAAGGAACAAGTCGACGTCGTGATCGACATGCACGCCGCGTCTGTAGCGGGCTGTGAGTTCTGGCTCGGCGAACAAGGGGCCACTATGTGCCCCCAGACTATCCCCCGATGGCTGTTCTGGCCATCAGGATGGTCAGGGGAGGCCCCCTTCTCCCAGACATCAACAAGTCATGGACGTATCCGGCCTTGGCTCAGCTTCCGGCACCACGCAGTAAATATGAGGTCTGCGGCATTGTGCTAGCGGTGACATTTGCAGCAGATCAGTTGGGAACGCTCGTCCGCACGCCCCGTTCCACGCCTGCGCCTCTTGGTTCAGTGGCTGCAGACACTGCGACGCGTTCTTCTTCTTTTTCTTCTTCTTCTTCTCTGACCTTCTTGGGGGGGGGGTCGGGCTTCCTAGTAACCGCGCTGGGTTTTCCCGTGAGGAGCTTCCCCCTCTTCGGGAGCGTCTAGCATCTGGCCTGGCCAATTATCTCCTCTCTTCCTCGTCCTCCTTTTACTCATCCGGTCCCGTCCCCATCCCTTCCCCACCGGCCTCGTCGCAGTCCCCCCTATCTATACCCCCCGTCCCTTCACCATCCGTAATGGCACGTTTCCTTTGCCGTGTTAGCCCATTTATTCTCGCTGGGCCATCCGGAATGTGCCACGCAGGACAGCGATTGATGTGTCGGTGCAGCCGTTTTGAGGCCTTCCGTCAATTTCTGGCCGCAAACTTGAACGTGGTGAAGGACACGTGCGCCTGTTGTCAAAGCCTATGGTATGGACGCAGTGCTTTGTCAAGGCTGCCCTGGCATCCTTGCCCCTTGGCCCGATACGGGCGCCACTGTTTCGATGCGGGCGCCCGAGGGCCTTGCACCCTCACCCTGCATCCTTACGACATGTAGCGCTGCAGAAAGGTTGCCCCATGGCCCGATGCGGCCGCCACTGCTTCGACGCGGGCGCCCATGAGCCTTGCATCCTTACCCTGCGCCCTTAGTGTACATGTGGCGCTCCAGAAGGGGCCTCGCCTTCGCGGGTCGAAGGAGTTGACGCCTCTTCCCCGGCAGGAGGCCAGCGGAAGCAAAACGGGGGCGACCCCGCCGACGGAAGCCAGCGGAAGCGAAAATCACGCAGGGGTGGCACGTTCGAGACGGAGTTGAGGCCAGCTCGCCTTCCCCGTACGGGGGAGCGGAGGAGGAGGAGGAGGAGGAGGAGGAGGAGGAGGAGGAGGGGGGAGGAGCGGCGGAGGAGGAGGAGGAGGAAGAGGAGGAGGAAGAGGAGGAGAAGGCGGAGGGGGGAGCGGAGGAGGAGGAGGAGGAGGAGGAGGAGGAGGAGGAAGAGGGGGTAGGATGAGCGGAGGAGGAGAAGGAGGAGAAGGAGGAGGAGGAGGAGGAATGTTTCTTCTTGACCCCCGGAAGGATTTTCAGTGTCTCTGCCGCGCATTTTAACCGTTGCCGCGCCATTTAACCGTTCGACCATTTAGCGAGGCCCGGCACGAGACGCCCTGTAACTGAGACTTGCGGGCTTACGGTCGGACCGAGGTAGAAGATCGGGGTCGGTTCGGGGAGGGTACCCTGATGTACTTCGTGCTTATTGGGTGTTCTTGTGCATTTTGGGGGAGGGTATTTCGAGTGATCTTGAGGGATGGTATTATGTCTTAGGTCCGACCGCAGTGTTGCAAAAAGGAAGCAAATGTCGTCATCCTAAGATATGGTCATATGGGGTTTGGAAGTCGCCACATGTCGCCGCGCCGTTTGTTTTCGACGCGCTGCCTTACGTTTTCGGGGGAGGGCGCCGTGGGCACCAGGGGAAACTCCGCCTCGGACGCGGTGGGTTCGCCGTGGGTCTGCCGCGGTGCCAGCTGCGTCTCCTTAGGCGCGGGGCGCAGCCTCCGCCGTGGGCTTTCCGTGGTGTCGGCGTCGTCCTTGTGGGCGCATTCAGAAGAAAGGGCGCGGCGACATATAGGGGTGTTGATTGTGCCCTCTCCCTTCCCCCTCGCTCGATTGTGGGACGAGTCCGGGCCGAGTGATACGACGGAGCGGAGCCTTGTTGTGCCCCCAGCGCTCGAGCTTCTGTGCCGCATGGGGCTGCTCGTCAGGAGCCGTACCGAGGTGAGCTGTGCCGACAGCAGGGAGGAGAGCACACGCCCCTGCTCGCCTACCAGACTCGTTCTTCTCCTTCCTCCTCCCCGTTCAGCCTGTTCGGGGGGGTCACGGCCTCCCCCCTACCCATCCATCTGTTTTGTGTCCTCGCTCCTCGGATCTATGTTTTGGGGGGTGGGCTGAGGCCGCACGTCGGGTATTCTGGACTGCGTTGAGACATGTGTCGAAGCACTCCCTGGGCCGATACCTCGTAGTAGGTAATGTCGTGGATTCGGTTGGAAAGTGTGGCTTAGCGCCTCGCTCCGCCAGTTCTGGCCCACCACGCTTCGGCGCGACACGTTAGCCATGTCCCAAGTCTAAAGCGTCATCGTCCCGAGCATGCCCGAGCCTCCCGCTCCGCGAAGCGGAGTGACACGCCATCCGCTCGCAGGGCACAGCATGTCGCTGGGGCCACCGCCGCGACTTGCTGGTCACAAGTTTCCCGACTGCATATCGATGCAATCGTCTGGCTGACGTGTACCTCGTAGCATGCACTTTCGCGGATGGCCGATCCGATCCGATCCCTTTCCAGTTGCCCACGGGGCGCGCTCTGACTGGAGCTCCAGAGCGGATCCGGCCCTGGCGGCGAGGGCGCCCAGGAGGCCCAGCAAGGCGACCCCACAAAAGGATGTTCGATGCTCCCCCTCCTCCTCATCCTCCTCCTCCTCCTCCTCCTCCTCCTCCTCCTCC